CCCTCCTAGAGGCTGGGTGGGGGCCAGATCGTTGTGGTTGTCCTTGGCTTTTCAGATGTGGCAGACGGGACGGCGGTGGACATCTTCTCCTTTGGCATGTGTGCCCTGGAGGTAAGGGTGGGCGATGAGAGGCCAGCTGGGGTGTGTGAGGGAGGCTCTCCTCCTCAGCCCTCCTGGGCCCCTTTCTTGTACCTGGCCGGCCACCTGGAGAGGCCTTTCCCCCTTCCTCCTCCTCCTCCTCCTCCTCCTCCCTGCTGGGGGCAGGGCTCCCCGGCCACCCCTCCCTGGGGCAAGGCTCTGATGATCCCCATTGGGCTTGATGAGCCCTGGCTTGCTTTTCCCGTAGATGGCCGTGCTGGAGATCCAGTCCAATGGAGATGCCTGCGTGACAGAGGAGGCGATCCAGCGTGCCAGGCACTCTCTCGACGATCCCAACATGCGGGTGAGAAGAGGGACCTGGCCCGCCCTGGGGAGGCGGGGTGTGTGTGTGGCATCGCTGTGTTGGCCTCCCCCATGACATGCCATGACGTGCCTCCAGCCGCCTCCCGCCTCCCTTTGGCCTTGGAATTGCCTCTGCTGCAGACTTAGCTTTCCAAGTGCCTTATTGCTTAGGTGGCCCCATCCTGTACAAGGGCAAAGGGGTGGACCTTTCAGTCAAAGATGTTGAGAGCTGACATGGCCAGGTTTAGTTGGCGCTTCTGAGAGCTGAACTGCAAAGCACGGGCAGAGCTAGCAGATGGGATAGCTTTACTTGGGTTAAAGTTTCCATTTGCCTCACCTGTATTCGCTGTGGATGTTTATTATGTTGGTTGAAATCCTGATGCCTAGCCCACACCCCCAAAATATCCGAAAGTTTTAGGCCATTCCCAGCTGGCAAATAGAGGATTGCTTTCTGCAGTGCTTGGTGCCCCCGAAAACCACGGTGAGGGCTTTTTATTTGCCAGTTAGGAACAGATGGAGCCCGGAAAGGGTCTCACCGGTAACCTGCTGCCATCAGCTTTGGCGTTCTTGGAAACAGCAGCCTTTGTTCTCTCTTTGGAAAAATGAGAGCAGAACCAGAGAAGCAACTTAATCTCCTTTCGGGGTCCATCTGAGGGCCCTTCCAGTTCCTCTGGGAAATCAGGGGGCCGTGCGCTTAGAGCTGCTGCATCGTCTCCCCAGGGACCCTATTCTTTCTCATGGGAGCTTCCAGTGGGATGCTGGTGCTGGTTCTGGAGGCATGAGTCAGGTGAGGTGCTCCCCAGGAGAGCATGGGGAGCGGTGGGTCAATGCCTACGTGCCTGTTGATACCTGCACATTTGCGAGGGAGATGCGACAGGAAGACACAGAGCCCAATCAACAAGGCTAGCAAAGGATAGAGAATAGAGATCAAGGCTTCTGTGTACATAACATGTATTAATAACCCAGCATTTTCAGTATAGGTATAAAATAGCCGCCTAGAGTGGTCCGGTGGGCCAGATAGGCGGGGTATAAATTAAATAAATAACTAAATAAAATTAATAAATAAAATTGCCCCCTCGCTTTTCAAGCCCCAAATTTGGTCCAAGAAAAAAAACCTCTTAGTGTTCCCATGGCAGCCAAGTCTTTGTAGGCAGAGGCCACACAAGGGATCTAATCCAGCAAAACGGTTCACATGGAAATCTCTCCTGTTAGGATCATCAGGTGGCTAAGAGCTGGGCACGGGACCTGGAAAGTGGTGGTTTGTGATGGTTTGCAGTTCATGGTTAGCCACGAACCACAAGCCACGACTCCTCACAGACCAACCGGAAAACCGAACTCGTTTGCAATTCGGTTTTTGGTTCATGCCTGGCGGGGGAGGCTGCCTGCTCCAGTTGCACGGCTGCTGTGGTGCCACTGCCTCCCTCCTTCCCTGGATGCCTCTCTCTGAGGCGGCACCTGCGCTCCTGGCAGGGAAGCTGGCGCCTTGCCTCAGAGCATGGCAACGGGTCACCCAGGGAGGAGGCAGTGGCGCAGCAACAGGATCAGGCGGGCCAGGCGACCAGAGTAGCAGGAAGGGAGCAACTGGGCCGCCCTGGTTTGCCGAAGCAAATGAAGCGCCGGGGGGCGGGGGGGAAGGGTTGAACATTTTATTTTCCTTCAGCAAAATGGGATCCCTGGTTTACACAGCTACCTCTTTGGAAATAAACACCTCTAAATGTAGATGTAGATACGATTTTGCATGAGGAAGAAGGACTGAAAGGTGGTTGCTCTCCAGCCCTCGGAATCGAGCGCGCTCTCCTCCCAGCTTGGCTGCCTCAGATATTCTGGGAAGTGGAGCCGGCACTCCCTGCATGCCCAGTGGGCCTTCTGCCTCTGCACTGGCCCCAGCCTTTTTTGGAGGGCGGGAGGGCTGCTTCTCCACAAATGGGGCAGCGGCCACGCACGGTGTGGGGCTAGCCCAGGGCCGTGCTGACTCTCCCTGCAGGGGCTCAGAGGCTGGGTATTAGCAGGTGGAAAGCCGTTTCACCCGACCCTTGACCGATCGGAAAGTGGCTGCCACGTGGCTGTGCTGGGAAAGGCCTCCTCGAACTGAGGAACCCGGGAGGCTGGCTTGCTCTGAGTCGGAGCCCTGCTTCCTCTTGCTCTTCTTCTCGGCGCTCTTAAAGCCAAGCGGCCACGGAGGTACAGAGAGGTTTAAAGCCCTCCCGAGGCCCCTTTGGAGATCGCAGCGGGTCCCCCGCCTGACCGATAGCCAGGCCCAGGCCTGCGGAGCGTCTGAAAACCTGGGAAGCCGGGGAGTCCTCAGGGTGGGGGAGCACGCGTGCGCTCTGTCCCTGAGCGTTCGCTCCCTCTAGGGACTCAGGTTGGAGGCCTCTGAAGTGCAGCCAGCAGGGAGATGATCTCATGAGACAAGAAGGGTGGGGTGGGGTGGGGGTCCCCGTTCCAGGTTGTCCGTGGTGGCCCTGTTGGACACAGCCAGGACTTTGAGTGGCTCAGGGGGTGAAACAGGTGAACCGTGCAGTGCCCCCCCCCCGGGAGCGATTCAGCTCCTGCTTTCTGTCCCGGGATGGCCTTTCGCTGCACTTCTGGGGGGGCCACCTCCCATGCCGTGTGGGGCTGCCACCTTCGGCTGCTCCCCAACTGCCTCTCCTGCCCTCCTCACAGGAGTTCATCCTCAGCTGCCTCCTTCTGAACCCTGAGAAGCGGCCCACCGCCCACAATCTGCTTTTCCACCGGGTCCTTTTTGAGGTCCACTCCCTGAAACTGCTGGCAGCCCATTGCTTCATCAGCAATCAGTGTGAGTTGGGGGGGGAAGAAGAAGGGCTGGGGGCCGAAGGGGAGGGCCAGGGGGGAGGCCCACGAGGCACCTGCTCAGAGCCCCCACTCCCCTCTTGCTTGCAGACCTCTGGCCCGAGAACGTGGTGGAGGAGAAGACCAAGCAGCTGGACCTCAGCATCGTCATGGCCGAGATTCAGCGGCAGAATCGGCCCCCCGTGCAGTGGAGGTAGGCCTCCTTGGGAGGAGGAGGAGGGACCCAGTGGAAGATGGGAAGGAGGGGAAGCAGCGCTCCCTGCGCCCCACTCACCCACCGGCAAGACCTGGCTCAGACCAGGTGCAGATCTCCGTCTCAGAGCATTCATGGTCTCTGTGAATGCACCCTACTGTATAGGGTTTCATCTGCGCTTGCGCTGAGGATTCTGGAATATTGTAGAGCTTTATCATGCGTTTGCCAGGACCGCCACCCTAGTACATGTGGTCCACCCATCCTAGCGATTGCCTCAGTTCCTTTTCGCCGCCGCTGAGGTTTCACCTCTCAACAAGCTCTCCATTCACCTTGCTTACGATTCATTTACAAAAAAAGATATATAGAGGGAAAATAGTAAGAGACTTTTTGAGCTGTTTCTCCTTCTCCCGGCCGCTTCCTCTTTCCCTTTCCCATCATTTTGTGACCCTCACAGGGACATTCAAACGGTGCGCCTCGTGCCCTCATAAGATCCCTCTTTCCGATGGACACGATTCATGTCTCTTTTGTCTCAGGGAATCACACCAACTCTTATCTTGCGAAGCCTGTAGAAATCTCACCAAGCAGGCCCTCAAACTTAGACAACAGTGCCTCAAGTCTTTCCTCTGGGAACGCTCCCTCCGACCGTTACCATCTTCAATGAAAGCCACACCAACTCCCCAGCCCCTCAGCGCTGTCTCTTCAGAAATGCCTTCAACTTCTCCGATAGCCAAATCGGCTCTAACAAAACCTAAATCCAAGTCAACCTCAGAATCCAAAACCTCAGGATCAGCGTCGAAATCGATACCGACCTTGAAACCACTCTCGACGTCCGACCATTCTAAATCTACTAAAAAGAAGAAGAAATCTTCTTTAGCCTTTCCCACTACCAAATCCAGGCTTCCGTCCTCTTGGTCTGCACCCAACAAAACCACTTCTTCACTTCCCATCCAAGACCAATCAACTGTATGTCTTGATTCTCCTTCTGCGGATGACGACTCCATCCCTCTGCCATCTGAACATCCACCATCTCCTCTACTTACTCAGTCACCAGACTGGGAAAATACTTTGGCTGAAGTCACAACAATCACCCAATCAACCTACTTGAGCCCTAAATCTGTGGGTTGCTCTGTCTCTGCTTTTGAGTCAGATTCAGCATCTGCCTTAACTGATCCATTCATTGCCACCGCACAAACAATCTCAAAGAACTCACCGTACATTGAAGACTTGCCGATTCAATGCCAAACACTCACAACCTCCAATACCACCGGGGTTGATGGCACTGCATGACGCCCAGGCTCACTACCAATATCCAAAACGAGTCACCTTGTATGAGCTTCCACCCTACTATGAGACTCCACCGAAACGCTATTGACACCCATCCAGTTGATACTGGCATCCTAATACCAGTCTCTATACCGAACCCAAACACACTCGGTATGCATACTACTATCCTTCCGACTCTTCAGAGTCACCGCCTCCTCCTTGGTATCATCCTAGAACCCAAGCATACAACGAATCATCTTCTGACAACAAACTGCCTCCTTCTCTGGTACCGAAGCCTCACAAATCCGCTCGTAAACAACCTCACCTTGCAGAGCCTTACATAGTGCAACCAATCACAATACCGAAACATTCTTGACCATCGACATCAGTCCAACCGCATACCACTAAACCAACGACACTCTCTCATGTACGTTCATCTTCTCTCCCAAGTTACTACCACTTATACTGGACCATCACCTGCTGCTCTCGATCTGCACACTCTTCACAACCGAAACAGCTTACACCACACCCATCCGCTCAACCAATACCTTCGAAACCATGTGGTACCAGCAAGTCCAGATGCTATGCCCTTTCACCCCCTCATGACGAGCCACCCCATGGCTCTCCATACCGGCACTCCTCTCCACTGACAGACTATCAACCATGCTCAACTCATCAACCTTTGGACCTTGAGACTTCGGACTCCTCACCACCACATGAGTTTCCACCTCATCTACCTACACCTGATTCAGACATAGCTGATGCCAATCCACCATCACCATCTGAGGATTTCCCCTCTTACTCACAACTCATCCTCTGTACTGTATAGCAAAGGTCATGGGCCTTGATGTCCAACAGCTAGTACCAACAGAATCTGATAAAGTCTATGAAGACATCATCAAGACCAAACCCCTCCAAACTGTATGGGGTTCATTTCTTCTCTTCTTAAACTCATCAAACAATCATGGTCAAAACCCTCTTTGGTACCACAAATCTCCAGACGTATTGAGAACTTACATAAAACATATGGAGACAATGCCACTTTCCTATCTAAACATCCCTCTCCCCATTCGGTCATAGTTGATGCTATGCAAAATAGAGCTCGCAATCTCTCTTAATGCAACTCCCAATAACCGAGAAGGCAGAAAGCTTGACATCATTGATTGTAGGGTCTACTCTAGTTTCTTTCACCCTCTGTGCTGCCAACTGTCTCGCAGCCATGGGAGCCTATCATCGGCACCTCTGGAACAAGATTCTACCAGCTCTCCACTCCGCACCCCATGAATACAAAGCCCTCCTATCAGGAGGCCATGGCCTTTGCCTGTCAAGAGCGGATCATAGCTCGCCATGTCCTTGAAGCTGCATCTAAACACATGGCCACTGCTGTCGCACTCTGCAGACACGTATGGCTTCCATCTGCCCATATATTTGAAGGCTTTCTCGAAGGCTTTCATGGCAGGGATCTGATGGTTGCTGTAGGTTTTTCGGGTTGAGGGACGTGGTGGCGCTGTGGGCTAAACCGCAGAAGCCTTTGTGTGCTACAGGGTCAGAAGACCAGCAGTAGTAAGATCGAATCCACGTGACGGAGTGAGCGCCCGTCGCTTGTCCCAGCTCCTGCCAACCTAGCAGTTCGAAAGCGTGCAAATGCGAGTAGATAAATAGGGACCACTTCGGTGGGAAGGTACCAGCGTTCCGTGTCTAAGTCGCACTGGCCACGTGGCCACGGAAGATTGTCTTCGGACAAACGCTGGCTCTATGGCTTGGAAACGGGGATGAGCACCGCCCCCTAGAGTCGAACACGACTGGACAAAAATTGTCAAGGGGAACCTTTATTGGGCGTGTTCTTAAGGTTTTTCTTCCTAACGTTTTGGCATCTTCGGAGGACAGGAGTCAGAACTCTGTCTGTGCTCTGGTGCAGTTTGTGGGATAGTTGAGTATTTATAGCTGTGGGATGCCACAGAATGCACCCTCCATAGCTCCTATCCTCATGCTTGGAAGCCCTCCACCTTTATGCCTACAAATGCCTACAAACCTTTCTGAAATTTGTGCTATGCCATAACTTAACCTACCACACCAACAACTCTTGATGCACTTTTGATATTTATTTCACATCTCTTCTATCGTAACCTCTCATTATCCACTCTCAATTTCTAATTGCATATCATCCAAAGGACTGTGATGCTGCCATGCTGTTCCGTCACCCTACTCTCAAACAATTCCTCAGAAGCATCTCCCAACATGGAGCGACAGTCATTTCCACCCCTGCCTCTGCAGGGGGCGCTACACACTATCCTACACCATTTAACTCTGCCTCCCTTCGAACCAATAGCAACCACGTCTGAATGCTTACTTTCATATAAGACCTTGTTTCTCGTCACTGTTACCTTCACCTGTGGAGCTCTGATTTTCATCTCAAAGAACTTACCATCTTACCCTACTTCCTTTTCATATCCGTCTAACGACCTTGAATGATCCTTACACTCACTGGCCGTGAGGCGGACCCTAGCGCTCTACACAGCCAGAACATCTTCCTTCCGCAAATCTAAGAGGCTCTTTGTCACTCCACGTCTCCCTAACAAGGGATCCCATGTTTCTTCTCAGACCATCTCTCGCTGGATTGTGACAACAATATGCCTTGCTTGCCAGCTTGCTCGCAGGCCTCCATCGTCACACCTCACAGCACACTCCACAAGAGCTGTCGCTGCTACCACAGCCTTCCTGAGAGGTGTACCCGTTCCTGACATCTGTACAGCTGCCACCTGGTCAACTCCATCTACCTTTGCCCTTCCCTGCCGTCTTGATGTCAGTGCTAAGACAGATGCGGCCTTTGGCAGAGCTGTGCTGTCATCTGTTCCTTTCGTGACGTCCCCCCTCCAGTAAATCAGCTTGTTAATCACCCTATATACAGTGCTGCCCCGCTATACGCTTAACCCCGCATGACGTCAAAATCGCTTAACTATAACATTTTTGCGAATGCTATTGCGATCGCAGACTGATGGTTCCAATGGGGGAAATCCTTATTACGTTGATTAGGAGCCTGCTTTGCGAACAGTTTGTTCGCTATACAATGATTTTTCCGGCTGCGCAAAATGGCTTCCTTCCACAAAATGGCTTCCCGAGGGAAGCTTCACGTTACAGCAATTTTGAACAGCTGATCGGCGGTTCTCTATGGGCAATCTTCGCTGGACAATGAGGTATTTCCCCCATTGGAACACATTGACCGGTTTTCAATGCATTCCAATGGTTTTTTTTTGCTTGACGATATCGCTTAACAGCGATTTTCCTGGCACAGATTATCGTCGTCAAGCGGGGCACCACTGTAGTATGCATTCACAGAGACCATGAAGAAGAAAGAGAGGTTACTTACCTGCAACTCTGGTTCTTCTTCGAGGGGTCATCTGTAAATTCACACTTCCCACCCATCCTCCCCTCTGTCCGTCACATCTGTCTCACTTCTATATCGCGGCGGACTGTTCTTAGGAACTGAGGCAATCGCCAGGACAGGCAGACCACGTGTACTAGAAGGACACTCCTGGTGAATGCATGCTAAAGCTCTGGAATATTCCGGAAAACTCTGTGCAAGTGCAGATTAAACCCTACAGCGTGAATTCATAGATGACCCCTTGAAGAACCAGAGTTACAGGTAAGTACATAACCTCACTTTTCGAGGGGTCTTCCTTGTTTTCGCTAAGCCTGTCTGTCCCACCAGGTATTCAGAGGTCTCTTTCCTGGAGCTGGACAAGTTCCTGGAAGACGTGAGGTGAGCATGCTGCCTCGGTGGGGCCGGTCCCCTGGCCCGGCCCGTTGTTTTGCCGGGGAGTTGGCCATTGCCAGGCCCACGTCCCTCTCACCCCCACCCCAATGGAGCATGGCTTCTGTCGGCTCAAGGATCAATGAGGCCACAGGAGTCTTGCACGCAGTGCTGGCGGGTTAGCGAAGGGATGGGCGGGTGGTGTGTGTGTGTGTGTGTGCGCATGTGGATGCATGCAGGTGAGCAGCAGCTGCCCTCTTACCCAGGAGAGCCCTCTCCCCGCCCCCGCCCCCTGAATCCTGGTCCAAGACTATGCAAAGCACCCCTCCTGAGAGGTCTTTCTCTGCCAGGAACGGCATTTATCCTCTGATGAACTTTGCTACCACCCGGCCCCACATGCTCCCACGCAGCACCTCCCAGCCCCCCGAGGACCCACAGAAAGCCAAGACGCCCACCCCAGAGCCTTTTGAGGTCGAGACCAGGAAGGTATGTGCCGCTGGGGGTTGGAGTGCGAAGGGCCCTCCCTGTGTGAAGGGTGGGATCCTGCACCAAGGAAAATCTCTGCCTGCCTGGCCTGGGCGTCTTGTGGGGGTGGGTGGCCCTGGGGTTGGGGGTGGGGTGGAAGACCAGGCTTCTTCTCCGACCCCCCAGAAGGTGGGTCTCTCCCAAGTGTCCCTGCGGGGCTGCAGTGGGTTGCCCCACAAGGATGCTGAACAGAAGGGGGGGAGGACCTTAGCTCTGAAGGGGGAGGGACATGATTGAGAGGTATAAAATGATGCAAGGGACGGATCAAGTGGAGAGAGGAAAGTTCTTGTGCCTCTCACGCAGTACTAGATCCAGGGGCCATCCACTACAGTTGAGTGTTCACAGAGAGTGTGCAGACAAATGAAAAGATTTCTTGACCCAGAGTGCGGTTAGTCGGTAGAACTCCTTGCCACAGGATGTGGTGATGGCACCTGGCCTAGAGGCCTTGAAAAGGGATTGGGCAGATTCTTGGAGGAAAGGTCCATTGCAGGTGACAAGCCATGATGGGGATGTACAATCTGCAGGCTCTTAAAAGGGGGGAGGTACCTCTAAATGCCAGAAGCAGGGGGGGGATCAGCAGACAGGTTTCTCGTGGGCTCCCAGAGGTATCTGGTGGGGGCCACGGTGAGAGACAGGAAGCTGGACCAGAGGGGCCCTTGGCCTGATCCAGCCCGGGGCTCTTCTGCGGTTCTGATACGGTGGTCTGTTCCCCCACCCCCACCCCCTCCCAGGTGGTCCAAATGCAGGGCGGCATGGACTGGAACGAGGAGAAGCGGCAGTGGCACGTACGTACGTACATACATACGCAGGGTGGAAGGGCTAGTTCTCTCCGGGAAAGCCCTGGAGACTCTCGGCCTGCCCCAAGCGAGGGCTGCCGGCCGAGAGAGGGAGGGAGGGAGGGAGGCCTGTGTGGCTCAGCTGCCAGAAAAGGTCCCCTTATCCCATCCCTGCTGGCGGGGGGGGCAGGGGGGCCACAAGAGACCCGCTGCTTCTACAGAGCCAGGGGGCCTCCAGGACGAATGGCCTGGTTGGGGGAAGGCCCGGGGTCTCCTCCTCTGCGCGCTCCACGTGGGGAGGGCGAGAGGGAGGGCTCTGTCGGCGTGCCTCCTTCTCCTTCTCTTTGGCCCAAGGAGGCTGGGAGGGCGGCCTTTGCC